GTGTAACAGAAAACTGGTGTGCGCTTTTTCCTCGCTGTGTGTAACAGAAAACTGGTGTCCATTTTCCTCTTTGCCGTATGTAACAGAAAACCAGTGTGCGCTTTCCTCTTTGCTGTATGTAACAGAAAACCGGCGTGCGCTTTCTCTGTTTCACTCTGGGATTACAAAGTATATTCTCAACCCGGCCAGGTATCCAATGCGCAGTTTCTTTTGTTGATTTTCATGGAATCTCTTGGTCTGTTACCCAGAACTACACTGTAGTCCCCACCAGTGTATCAGTGCTGAGTTTATGAACTTACACTAAAATTACGTAGAATACTAAACGGAGGGGGGGCCTACTTATTTCAAATAGTGTAACATTTGGGTCAAACTGGTCTTACACTACAAAGTAAACTCGTATTTCGTTTGAGATGAGTGGATTCTTGTTTTTAAAGGTTATTAAATTAAATCAATAATTCTGTAGTAATAATAACGCCAGAGAATAATTATCAATAAGTAGACATTTTGGTTTCAATTGTCCTATTCTGTAAATATAGATATAAGCCCATGAATGAGGTTTTTTTTATCGCACCAACATGAACGTTGTTTTGAGTTGTAATTTTACAGATTTAGAGGTTATTGAGGACAACTTCCACGTTTTCGTTCTAAAACATTAACAATTTTATTAATAATATTTAATTACTGATAGAAGTTATATCATTCATTATTAATAGCATGTTTGAAGGTGTTCATTAAAAATAAAATGGTCTGTATTTTAACTTGTAGATGGAAGTATGTTCCCGCCATTTTTAGACAAAAGTGATACACTTTACATTTTTACTACGGACTTGTGTCGGTAAGTAATATCCGTATAAATAAGTAAGTACAGCAAATGTCAGTATTTGTATTAAATTTCTAATACTTATACCACTTTAAAAGCTTTTTGTAAATTTGCACTGTTATTAGTATCAAAGGGGGAACAAGTCCCCCTCTCCTTTTCATTTGTTTTATTTTTAAATAGAATAACCCATATGTACCAGCTACAGAAACCATCTCCCCACTTTGATATCAAGGTTACACCACTGATTATAACGTGAAAATAATTGAGGAAGGGGTACCTATAACAGTATTGATTGTTATACTACAGCGACCACCTGTTCACAGCGAATCAAATTTATGTGTTCTACAACAGGTTTTTCTTAGGTTTTCAGTTCGTGATTTCTTAAGGTAAAAAAATCCCACCCCTCCCCCATTTGTCATGTAATTAAAAATCAACAGAAGTAAAGCATCATTCAAGAAACCAAATGCTGGTATACTAATACTGTTCCAAGCATAAACTACTCTATATCTTTACCACAGTTCATTACAGAACCTATAGAATACTGAAACAACTAAACATACTTCACAGAGATTTATTGTATCTTCTGAACTCCTTCGAAATCTCTTGGAGCCTTCCCTGACTCCCTGGTGGGTGTGATCTACAGTTTTAGAACACCTATTCTAAAATGTTCCATTCCTTTCTTCAATCGCACGTTAAAATTTATAATAAAATCGGAAACGGGTAATTCTGGTGTTGTTCGTCAGGGGGAGCGTGAGCTAGCTTTTACCTTTAGGGGAGTAATAACGTCTAATTGCTGTAAATTCTCTACTCGTTCTTTGTGTATTAAAAATACTAATATAAACACATGTTACGTTTATGAATGAAATCCTTCTTTTATACCTTTTATTTATCAAACCTAGCGAGATATATCGTTATAAAACTTCAATCATATTTAATTTTTTCTTAATGGTTTGCAATAATCCCATATTCAAAGAACAATTTCGAAACTTGGCTCGCAACACTTACTGTATGTCAGACTTCGCACTGCCAACTGGCATCCGTCGAGGTTCACTTTGTATGTCCTTCACCTTCTTCTTTGGCACTGCTTTTCTTCTTTTTTCAGTCACCACGTATTCATTATACGATATACATACACGTGTCAAGTATTATTTTTAAGGCTCTGGTCATTATAACTGAAGCAATGAACAACCTAATGATGCTCAGATTTTTAAGACCGAAGCCAATGATAACTTTCATTCAGTTAGTTCCAAATATACGGAGCATGAAATTAACACACAGGAAATTTTAAACATTTGACGTTTCGTAACAAAATTTATAAGTTAAAACTGACAAGTGTTTAACTAAAATTTAGTAATTTCAAGTAGGATCAAGAATAGACTGGTATTCGAGTCATCAGTTTGTTTAATTAACAATAATGATTTGTTCATGTTTTACTAGCTCCATTTTTCACCTAAATGTTAACTTTCACATACATATTTTGGTAGTTCCATGCGTCAAGAATAATAAACATATGAGTTGAGATTTCCTTTAACTTACCTTAGGTTAATGTTGTTTTATGGGAAATTGGTCTTTCAAACTTCAGCCATTTTAAAATTTAATCGCTCAAGTCAAGCTATTTCGTAAACATATTTAAAGGTGCTTCCCCTTTAGCACGACCAGACAGGAAGAGTAATGTATTGGTGTTCACAAAAAATAAAACAATCCAAAAAAACTTGTTGTATCATTCAGAATCTTAATTACTGTATTGATATATTAATTTAATATCTTTAATTAACCTCGTAACTAACTGAACACAAATATATTCTTAACCCTAAATTTAAAATCGTAAATACAGTGAAACCCCGATTTTATGCGCCCCGATTTAACGTGAATTCGGATATAACGTGATGGGTCATTAAATCTTTCGACACGGGCTCGGTCCTTGGGATCGACCTCGTAACCATAATCTCGTTATAGTTTACATACTAATAACTTTTAATATTTTAAGTGTATCTTTACAAAATTTTGTAGACTTATAGTAAACATTAGAAGCCTTTGCACACACAAAAATCAGATTTTTTAAGGAAGTATTTTTACTTAAATTTGTCCGTGAAAATATTGATTCTTTTCTTTAACTAGTCTGAGTGCAAAGTGATTTTCATGTCAAAATTAAAAATACTTTTCGTCGTCTAAAAAAATCTCAAATTTCCTTTGTGTAATCCCTAAAACCTCCTAAATGCATTTCAAAGTTTCTTTTTTCACTAAATTGTTCAACAACGATTAAGGCCTATCTGAATAGTCTGAACATGAAAGAAGTTTGCCACTTTGGTGGGAAGGCCTGGGCAGCAGTCAGCTCGTCGTGTGTAGAGAAATGCTGGGTCTGGGGCTAGCCTTTTCATCACGGCAATCCACCATGATGATGACGAGACAGATTTGTACGGCTTCACAAAGGAAGATGTGCATGAGGCAAAGAAGATCAGTGGCACTCTGTTGACGACTAGTGCCCAATATATGAGCACTTGACGGACGCCAAGATCGTCTGTAACGTAACTATAGCACCGACGTAGGCAAGTGTACCGGTTCTCGAACCACAAGAAGAGGATAATGAAGAACCGCCAAAGATGTCTGAACCCATTGAACACCTCGAGACTAGCCTCCGTTGGCGGGAGACTCAGGAGGTGGACCACATAAAAATCCTCCACCTCAGAAGCATTCTAGATTTCGCTTGCGGCCAGAGACATGCTACGTTCAAGCAAGGAACACTCGATCAGTTTTTTAAGAAATAAACTGCAAATGATGATTGCTAATATTCTTGAATGTTTTTATTTGTTGTTTTGTTTATTAAAAAGCCTTCTAAAGATAATTTGTGTATCAATTTCTACTATTCAGAGGCAATTTACTTGCCAGAAAGGGAACGTGTAAAAAATTAGTCAAAGATGGCGAAAATAGAGGTGTTTTAGGATGTTAGGTCAACATTGGGTCAGTTTGAACAGTGATTTTTTGAACCTCGATTTAGCGCGGCCCCGCTTGTTTCGTGATGTCATTTTATGGACCCCCCACGATCGCGTTATAACGGGGCTACACTGTACTCCTTTTGCTCTTCTGCAATACCTTCTTGCGTTTTAAGTTTTACAAATATCTCGCGCTTAAACAATTCAATCTCGTTTTGCGTTGCTTTTTTGCACTGTTTATCTGTCCAAACATCTTTTTTTCTTCTCTTTGGACAATCCATACTTGTTTTATTACTGCTTATCAGTTTAAACGAATGTATATACCTTCATCCCACGGTGCCGTTCGTCTTTGCCTTTTTTGAGATAACTTTAATGTTTATGGGCAGGTCTCTGTATCTGTGGTTCGAACAAGAAACAAAAGTGTTGGGAATTGATGCATACCGTTTCACTGGTCCTGATAAACTATTTGCTGACCCTCACGTGGATCTGGACAACAAATGTTTCTGCGCTGATCCCAACAACTGCTTGAAAGCCGGAGTCATCGAGTTGACATCCTGTCAAAACGGTGAGGAAGTTTTAGAACGTGTATTTTTATTCTAGTTTACTGTACATTAAGCACCTTATTCACATCTTACTGCTCCATTCTGGTGTAGAGAAAACCGTCTCCTGTGAATTTATATGTAGTCTGATAAATTTAAAACGGTTACAGCTGCATCTATTGGCCGTTACAATCAACTTTATATACTACAGCGACGTCAAGTCAGAAAACAAAGATTTCGTGATTATTTTGTCTCGTTTTAGATACTTACTGCCCAGTTTGTTAATTAAGTATTCCATTACTGTCACCTTAGTAATACTCGTATACCAATATACTGTCTGTGGAAGAC